TGAGAATGGTTTAAAGACTGGATTTGCGAAAGGGTCATGGAGATTGGTTTTATGGGAATGGTTTTATAACATGTTAAGGAAAGGTTTTCAAACCCACCATAGGTACCCTAGTTGTTCCCTTTCGGAATATTGGTTGCTTTCAGATGTTATGATGTCCACGAACATCCCAGCTGCTCTTGGAAATTAAAATGTCTTCAGATGACTTAATTTCCTTCGGACAAGTCAAGGGGCGTATGACATTGCCCCAGGAGTCTCGGGGACCCCCAAACTGTGTCGTGCTAGGATTTGCGTCTCAGGCCGACCGTGTGTCCCTTGAGTTCTGCTAGGATTTGCATCTCAGGACGACCATGTGTTCCCTGAGTTCTGCTAGTATGTTTGTATTATGTTTAATAACATTTATTTTTTTCTGTCAACTCACATTTTTATTGTTTTGAGCCCCCAAGGCCGTAGACGAGTACCGAACCAACTCTTGAGGGCATCTCTTCTGCTGCACTATGGGGACACTTAGTCAGCTTGAGCCGCATTCCTCGCAAGACTCAGGGGATCCTTAGTCAGCCTGAGCTACACTCCTCGCCGAACTCGGGGGACATATAGTCAGCCCGAGAGCTCATATCCTCCCAAAACTCGAGGGACATGTAGTCAGCCAGGGAACGCAAATCCTCGCACCTTAAACTCTCTGGTCTCTAATAAATCTCCGGTCGCTCTTATAATAATTTCATTTCCTTCGTCATCCCATTGAAGAACAAAGAACTTATATTTTGCAATGCAAAGAAGAATAGAATCTATATCCTCACCAATGGGGCGAAAAATTTGAAAGTTAGAAATCTGTCCATATATTGGCACCTCCACTATAGGCTTCAAGCCTTGGTTAGCATGTAATAGAATTTCAATGAGTATACATTTCCCAATGATCACATTTAGCTCCGAAGGACTTGTAAAATTTCAGACACATGTGTAGAGGACACTAGCAGACTTGTTAGTCTTAACAACATAATTCCATTGACGAATCCATGGACTATCATTCATCTTGCTTCTCTAGCTGTGTGAGGGAGGTATGAGGTGGGAGGAAGCAACGGCAAATTCAGATAGAAAGCGAGAAAAGTCACTACTCGTACAACTTTCCTCGTGTAGGATTTCCTCTTGTTGTTGTTGTAAATTCTCTTTGTTGTAAACTTAACTTGACTAGATATGCTCTGATATAGCCCGAAATGTTTGCGAGGAGGCCATTTGGATTTCTTGTTTTTAGTGTGTGAACTTGTCTTGTGCATGTTGAATGTTGGGTTTTAAACTATGTTTTCTATAGGTGGTGTTGTTGGGCCTAACCTTTTTCATGGGAAACTCTACCTGTTTTCTGGTAGGGTCTAACCCTAAGGCAATTTTAAATTTTGGTTTAAAGAACGGTAAGTTGGTACTATGGGCCCGACATTTTTAAGTAATAAATATAGATCCCAAAACTTTCATATCTCCCTCAAAAGCTCTTGATTTGATTTTTTTAAAAAGAAATTACCATATTTGATTGTTTTTTTTTAAAAAGAAATCGCTAGATTTGAGCATAGTCTGAATGACCTCAGAAGACTTTATTATTAAATTCAAAGCTATTTATATATAAAAGAAAAAAAAAAAGGATTGCGAGAGACTGTAGCACTCAGATGCCAGGGCTTCTCAGCAGCGTCGGCCACTCGTCGTCGTGACCGTCTCCTTCGCCGGACGAGGGTCCTTCGTCGCCGTTGGCCGTTGCCATCACCTGACGCGGTTCCTCTATTTTTGCTCCGTCCGAGTTAGCCTTCGACTAGTTTTCGTGCATTTCTCTGAGCATGTCTGAGTCCTCTACGCTAGACTCCCACACCATCTTCTTCTTGAAGTAGTCGAGGGTCTGTTGCAGTCCTTTTCTGTACATAGCGTACAAGAAACTGGTCGAATTGAGTGTATAATCTACAGTTCCGACGACAATGTCGAAAACTCCCATAACATGAATCGCCTTTTCAAAATAATCTATGTGTTTCATCTTCTCGTAGTTCTCAGGATTAATGTGGATAGCGAGCACTCCCATAGGCTGAGAGGGATTTAGAATGTAGGTTTTCTTGAATCGCGGGATGGTGATCTTCAACACCTCACCAGCCGCAACAAACACTCAGATGAAAAGTCCTATGGAGAGGTTGGGTGGGTGAGGTGCTGAGAGCAGAGGGAGAGCAGGAGGGAGTAAGTAATGGTAGTACCGTACATGAATTTTTTCATTTTTGGAAACTTATTTTTACTTACCATTATGCCCATGGTTCTTAAAAAAGAGGGGAAATTTTTTGGTTAATTGATTTGAGAGATCAATGGACCAAATGCAATTCCTAAGAGTGTGCCCCTAGTTCTTAAAAAAAGAGGGAAAACGATTTTGGTTGACTGATCTGAGAGATCAATGAATCAAATGCAATTCTTAGGAGTCGCGCAGTAGTTGACGTGTTGCTCGTCGTTTGGGGTGTATTACACCCAATGCCAGTTGTCTGCATTTTATTTATTATTTATTTGGTCAAGTTGTCTGCGTTTTCAAATTCATTATGGTTTAGGATTTTAATTCGGGTTTTAGTAGGAGATGATTCAAAGGTTATTGAGAACTTGGTTTTTGTAAATAAAAGTCGGGAGGATTATGAGTGGGTGAAGTTTAGGGATGGCAATAGGTCGAATCGGGGATAGGTATGTCATTCCCATCACCATTCTCATCCCGCAATCTTCAAATCAGGGATTCTCCATCCCCGCCTTCATTGGGGAACGAGTTCCCCATCCTGCCCCATTACCAAAAAAAAAAAACAAAAAAAAAACTACTTTGTTAATTGAGAAGAAAAAAGCTTTATGTCAATTCCATTTTTATTAACTAAAAATGTAGACTAGTTAAATAAATTAATATATGTCATAACTATATGTTCAAGACATGAGGGTTCGGGTCGGGATTAGAAAACCATCCTCGTCCCTCCCCAAATACCATACCTGAAAAATTCTCCAAACCCATTCCCGGATCCCAAACCTCGGCATTTAGAGATTGTGCATTTACCCGCATTTCAGAAAATCTGGACCATTCAACAAATCCAATGCTTATGACTATGCCACATAAGCTACAATAGGTTTATTTCCTTTGACAATGGGAAAGAAAGACAACAATCCCCTCCATCTCCATCTCCAGTTTAGCCTACCACTCTCTTGGTTCTTCCTCTGAGTCTTTGTAATCCGATTTTTTTTTTCTTTTTTTTTTTCTTTTAGCTTCTTACTTTAATTTGGAAATTCGACTTACAAGATAAGCCAACCAAGACGCAATACTCTCCACTCTCTTGGTGTTGGTCTTTTGGTATATACCTTGGTGTTGTGATTGGTTGTTTTCTCTTAGGTGCATTGACAGATTTAGGTGTGATGGAGAAGGTGACTTTTGGAGGAACGTTCAAGGGCTGATGTGTTTCCGATTTTTGGGGAATATCTATTTTTGGTGGAAGATCGGTGGGTCTCTATGTGCAGCAATGCTGACCTGTGTAGTGGTGGTGTATCCCCTCCTTTGTGGCCATTATGGTACGATCTCCGTCCCCTTTGCGAAAGACGGTGGCTTTGTATTGTATTTTGGTTTGATTTTGTGATGGGGAAGACTATTATACTAGACTGTACTGGTTTTAGTTTAATCTTCTCTGTGTTTGTGGCATTTTGTTCCTTTAGCTGGCCTTTTTGGCCTTTGTATTCTCTGTTTGTTTCCTCCCCATTTATGGGTTTTGAATGAACATGATTGATTCCGACCAAAAAAAAAAAAAGACGTAGTCATAACTAGATTTTCAGAAAACTATGACGAGGAGGAATTTCCCGTAAGAGGAGGCAATATAGAACAGCAAGTAGGCTCTCCTAGTCCATCCCTGCCTCCCAAGTTCAAGTGTCGTACCATCGATGCAATGGATTGTTAATTTTCCAAATTATACTTTCTTCCTCTTTCTCATATATGTCTTTAATTCTGTGGTTTGCCGATGGGCAGTGCAACAATCAATTGGGTAACTTTCTTGACCCTGATCAATTTCGTTTAAAGACTACAGCTTGCAATAGCAATGCATTACAGTAGTCTATTGGAATTTAAAACAGATTCGCAACTTGTAATAGTTTAAGGGAGATTCACTTTCATACCCAATATAGGGACTCAAATTATAAAAATACCCTATATGAAATGGACTTTATAAACACACCCAAAGCCTATTTACAACATAATAAAGAGGCTTTTAACTTCTTATAAATTACAAAACTGCCATCAATTTCTTAAAATAAGCACAACCCCAAAACCTCATAAAAAAAACCCAAAATACTCAATAGGGTATCAAAGTAATTTAATAATCAAAATTAAATTCAACAGGGCCAGCTGTCATTTTTTGTGTTTTTTTTGGGTTCGTTTATAGAAATTAAATGGTGTAGGGTTTATCTATATTATTAGTGCTAAGAATGGATATATGACTAAATATCTCATAGTTTAAAGCCAACTTTCTCATATTAAACTTTTCAGAAATTGATGTAGTATATTCTATACGTTAGTGACTTTCACAAATCACTATGAAAAGGATTACTAGCCAACAACCGTTCATATTAAACTGATTGGAAAATTATGGTAACACAAATAAATGGGTGCAGAAGACATGAGAGAATGAAGGAAGATAAATGAGAGAGTTGATAAAGGAGAGAGAGAACAATTCAAGGAGAGGACGACATATGCTCCAAAAAGAAAAGAAAAAGGAGAGGACGGTAAAAGTAACACCGTCAGTTTTAGAAAAAAAATGAACAAATTATTGTAGCTGACGTGGCATAGCCACAAGAATTGAATTAATTAAATATTTCATATTTTATGAAATACGGATAAATGCATCATTTTTAAATGCAAAAGGCAACGTGCCCTTCACCTCTTTTTTTTTCGGGTTTTTTGGGTCAAAACGTGTCCTTCACCTTAGCCTCAACTCTCAAACGTACCAAAACCAACCGGTGTGACCCTCCATTTTGGTGGCTTTTGGTACAGACTACAAAATGCCAAGCCCAACATGCCCCTTTCCCATGGTGTGGGTATGGGAATGGCTATGCTTTTATCGCCTTTGAAACCACTGGCCTTCTCCTCCTCTGCATTCTCTCAGGACCCATCAACATCATCATCATCATCATATCGACCTGCTGTTATTCTTCCAGTTAAGCTTATAATTTCTCTCTTAAGTTTTCCTCATCTGGGTTTCACTTGTTCTGTCAAACTGCAATATGTGTGCATAACTTTTGGGACTTTGGCATTTTGCAAATATCTCAGTTTCTGTTTCGTGGGTTTTTTTTATATATTATTTCAGGGTTTGGGGAACAATTCAGCCGACTACCAGAAGTTGGAGCTTACTTTGAGTGAGTATGGAGTGGCCACAGTAGTTGCTAAGGTGTCAAGACTTGATTGGCTGAGGAATGCCGCCGGTTTGGTTGACCCAAATTACTGGCGGGGAACTCTCAGTCCTCGCCCTGTACTTGATTGGTATGCCCAGTAATTCAAGTTTGTTTCCTTTTTAGTACCCTTTGGGGTTTTAATGGCATTATAATAGGTTGGTTTAAATTTATCTAACAATGAATGACCATGCTTTGGCAGGTATTTGAAGAGGGTGGATGAGGCCGTACAAGAGGCGAAGGAGCTGGCACAAGGTTGATCAATTCCATCAGTTTAGAAATTTGAAATGTACATCAATTGCTTGAATTCAATATCTATGTATTTTTTGTTTTCTTTCTGTAATTCGGAGCACTTTAGATATTGTGAATTGGGCTAAGTTGAAACAAAATCTATCTCGAGTGTTGTGTGGTTAGGATGAAGTTGAGAAACAGTGAGAGAATGAGTTGTTACGAGTTGGCCAACCTATCTGTTGCAGACGGATTGAGCCAAAAACATGGAGACCCCTTTGCTCTCTAACTTCTGGACATTAGTAGTCTTTAAAAGTTGAGAAAGATAGGTGAAATCTAATACTAGAGTTAGTATTAGAGAGTCAAACATGTGTAAGTCAATTCTCTTTAGCCAACTTAGATGATGCTAAAAGATAATTAGTTTAATTTCTGTTAATAAGGATAGGCAATGTGTTACCCTTGAGGTGGTGGTGATAGTGCTGGTGGATTTGGTAGTAATGGTGATGGTGGTTGATACCCAGGGCCTATCCCTATCTGTTAACTTCTTAGTGTGTTATTACATCTTTGAAAATGGCATTGCATGATTTTAAAATTCTCATGCTTTAGCAGCTTTTCTAGTGCAATGATATCACTTTAGCAGTTTCAGCTATGCTTGAAAGGGAAATTAACCTACCGATTTAATGAAAATACTTTAGCTTGAGTGGTTTGATCCAATATAACCTTATTGTTAAATTTTTGGAAGCCCGGTAATTGGTTATTGTACAATTTGTAATTGCTATGCATCTTAATGATGATCTCCCCTCCCATAGACCTCTCAGTGTGAGAGGTGGGGTTGAGGAGGTTGAGTTAAAGTATAATACGGGTTAGATAATGTGCCCAAAAAAGCCATAAGAAATGTCCGTCCTTCCTTCACTTGTGAATCTTCCTTGTGGCCATGTCAAAATTCAACACTATATTTGTTCCCTTTTGTTTATAGGGTCTCTCCTTCCTTGCCATCCTCTGTCATTGACTCATTGAACATGTGAGTTCTCTATCAAACACAGCAATTGACTTATTTGCTTCATTTCTTATGGTTTTTAGGTGGGAAATTATCCCTGATTGGACACTCAGCAGGAGGATGGCTTGCACGTCTCTACATTGAAGAATTTGGGCTGTCCGATATATCCTTGTTGTTGACTCTTGGAACCCCCCACCTGTAGGTCATCAAACTTTTTCATGTTAATTTCTTGCTGATGACTATTGGATCTCATTTACAAATGTGAATCAACGTTTATCATATCTGAGGGCTGTTTGGTGATGACATGACATGTCTAGTAACTTCTGTTATTCCATATTCCATTTGAAAAGCTTACTTCTTCAAACTTGATCAGGAGAATAACTGACACCTATTTTTTGTTCAGGCCACCACCAAAAGGTGTGTCGGGGGTTATTGATCAAACGAGAGGTCTCCTGGATTATGTTGATAAGAATTGCTCAAAAGCTGTTTACACTCCTGAAGTGAAATATGTATGCATAGCAGGGAGGTAAAACTCATAATTTGATTCTGTTTTTTGTTCTTACTCTATATTGCTTCTGTTATTATTTGAATGTATTCACTTTATGCAGACATTTTTAATTATTTGAATAAATTAATAGGTGTGAAATTCTTGTGGTATTTTCAATTCTGAGTTCAGTTATATTGCTAAGGTGCATCACGAAGGTTACTTGCAACACTATAAAATGGATGTAGTAAACAATAGATATGTTGAACAGGACACCACACCACATCCATATATGAAATTAACAAAGAAGCATCAGAAGAGCTTGACATTAATAGACCCCACAGATATTATATAACACCATACTCTAACAAATATAAGTGTAAAATCCTATAATCTAAGTGAGTTATGTATACGGAAACTGCAGGTATCTCCAAGGTGCTCGTTTGTTTGGGAACTCAAATGAAAGTATTGATTCTGCACTTCCAATAGCGAGTGTAGAACCTTCATCAGAGGTTGCTGTCATAAATGATATGAGCACTTCAACATCAACCACAACCACCTTGCGTGCACGCTTTGTTGGGCAAGGGTACAAGCAGGTAAAACCCCAACTGTCTCAGCAGTATAAACAGTTACTCCCAGTCAAAATAAACTTATCATTGTCATTTTCAATTCAATTTCTATGAGATTTTATTATAGTTATGTTTCCTGGTGTTATTTGTTGTCATATCTTTTAAGCCGGACGCCATGGTTGCAGACCGAATTCTGACAATGAGACTAGCATGTATTTCAGGTTTGTGGGCAGGCAGATGTTTGGGGAGATGGGGTTGTACCAGAAGTATCAGCCCATCTAGAGGGTGCACTCAATATTAGCTTAGATGGTGTTTACCACTCACCAGTTGGTTCAGATGATATCTTGAGACCATGGTATGGGTCTCCTGCCATTGTAGAGCAATGGATACATCACCTCCTTACCTAATGGCTTCCAACTTCTAAGGTACTGTAGAGAAGAATTAATTTATTTGATGCCATAGTAATTTGTCAACTGCCCATTCATAAGAATTTTTTTTATGTATTGCCAAGTTATAAACTGTAATCTTTTTCGAATATTTTGCATTCTTCTAGTTATTTGTTGGAAGATGTATTGATCATGCAATTTGACTTGAAACCTGTTCTTTCTCATCTCTAGGAATTTTAATCATCTGCATTGTAATCCAATTGCACAAGTCTTGTTCTGCCTCTGAAAGGCAAAATATCTTTCTATCATCCCCAGTCCCAGTACTGTCTGTGTACATTTGTGCAGGCAAGTAATGGTATTCTTCTTGCTAATGGTGGAGGATAGTCAGCTTAGTCCTTTTGCCCTAATCTCCCACGACTACTCATGTAACGGCAAAGTCGATACCGGCAAAGAGTGGCAGAGAGTTTTGGGGGATTTCGGTGTGGGTTTTTGTGTAGAGCAACCTCATTAGGTTTTAATTTTTAATTTTTATACAAGCGATATTGCCGGAGATTAGAATGGAATCTAAATGTTGTTAACCAATCCTTAGGTTTTAGATGGATTAAGATGTGTCCCTATTAGGTGTAGCTAATCAAAACGATCAGACTGAGCACAAGCCAATAATCACGTTGACTGCATAGTGAAGTCAATGCAATCCACGGCAATAAGATGCACCATGTGTTATTAAGTCAATGCAATAATCACCTACAGTAACACGGCCACTAAATTGAACCCACGACGCCATAATTAACAATGAGATATTACCAATTATTCTACTGGGATAGTGATGATATATATTGCCCTTTTTCTTTTCCAAAAGTTAGGAAAGAGGAAAACTCACACACCTAGGAGCTGTCCTCCCATCCTTTACACTACGATCTGCCAACCTCTTTTGATAAAATTTTAAGAGGGAGAAATTAAGATCAATGACATGATATTCACCACAGCTAAAAGCAACAGTGAAACTGAAATAAGAGAAAATGATCTACATTAAAGTCATTTCATGATCCTACGTACTTTTTACACATCCAAAACCAAAAGGCATTCCAGCTAAAATTCAATCACCAAACCCAGCCTGCATAATATGGTCTCAAACATAAGTGTGAAACTTACACTATCTCCAAATGGATTTGCTTTTTCTTTTTTAAACAGGGGTTAGGGACATCGATTCAAAGCAAAAGGCATCAATTAGAGACTGAATGAGCATTCATTCAGCCTTCACAAAGTGGCGCGAAAGCAGCTTCCCAATTTCCAAAAAGCCGACTTTTTCCTTCCCTTCAAAAATTGCCTTGAGCTTGTCATCACAGTGGATCTCCCTCTTATTAGCAGGATTCTGCAGGCAGAGAAAAGCATACATATTTGATTAATACCACTCAACTCGACTTCATATGTCAATTACAAGTATTTAACTATTTTGTGGTGAATAACACTCACACAGCTTGTGCAAGATTCATATTAGAAACAACCACTAGATAAAGACATCAGGATCCACATCCCTGCCGTACTTTCCTAAACAACAGAATAAGTAGCAATCACACCTTTGGAGTAGACAAAACAAAACCCTTACGATTACAAAGTCCTAGACCAACTGGCTTTACAGGCAAACTCAGCCCACAGATATGCAGGGGCGAGACTGATTTGAATTTCATGGACAGCTTCGAACCTAAACATTTCTATCCCTTTGATGAGACCTTGTTCCAAGTACTAAGGCCACTGGCCCGCACCTTGCCATCTGCATCTAGTTTGTCAGGTCAAAAGAAAAATCATGTGCTGTTCCATGCAACTCAAACATTTAAAAGTCTTCCAACCTTTTTGCTAATTGCCAGTGTTTACACTGTTACTTGCTTCTTCATATCGTCTATGCTCATTCCTTTGGAGATCAGGATTTTGTATAGCAAAATTTACTTCATCCCCCAGCAGAAATGCTTATGTCAATAAAAAAAGACCTAACATTTCTTGGCTGTAATAGCTACCTCACTATCCGTCAAGCTTGTTAAAACTACAAATATGATCCATGATCAAAATAGAAAGTTATACCATAGCACCCCCTCTAACTTAATGGACAACTACCTAATTGCAAACAAAAGGCATTCTCAAAAAGGATGTGATAACAGGCTGACGAAAAAGAAACATACATTAAAAAATCAAATGGAACCCAAGTGACTACTGAGAACCATGAATTATCCAAACTGTACATCAAAGTTAAAGATCAAGAACCCATATTCCGTCAACATATACATAAAACCATGAAAATTTGAAAAGGTGATCTTAATGGTTATACGTAGATATATATCAGATGCGAACAGACATGAGCCAACATAATATGAGTCTACGTGAAGTGGAGGGCAATGCATATATTGGGATGAGTACTTGGAACAGTCTATAACCCAGCCACACTAAACTAGTTTAAAGGCAACCAGTAGCTATAGAAATACAGAGCAGTAACTCAGTTAACATAAGAAAACGCAGCTTGTTTAAACATGGAAAGCTTCATCCAAAGCAGAAACAACCTGTTAGGCTTTAATCAACTTCGAAAATAATAAAATGATAAGAAAATAGATAAATAACTTTATCATAAACAAATCTGCATCGAGCCAAGCTCCCCATCAGCTAAGTCAGACTGAGGTGTCCAGATGTCCCTTTGTTTGCAACAGACAACAGTTTTTTTTTTTTTTTTTTTTTTGCAATTTAGGGCTTAGGGTTTAGGGTTTAGGGCTTGGTTACCTTTTTATTCCCTTTCATTTCCCAAATATATTCTTGTAGTTTATAAAGAAATTTGAAGCAAAACCCATAAATAACGAAAAACAAACCATTTTATTAGAACCCACTAGCAAAAACCACAAAAAGGAAAGGAGTGATGAGGACCTGCAGGTTGTGAAGCTTGATGTGGGCCCAGATCTGCCTGACGGCCTCGGCGCGAGAGGACTCAGAGGCGCCAAGGAAGCTACCAAGAGCTGGTGAGATCGGCGTTGGCTTCATAATCCCGAGGTTCCTGTTAGGAGTTTTGGGTTTGGTCGAGTCAGCTGCTGCCTTGGGCTTGGCCTTGGCCTTGGCCTTTGCCTTTGGTACGGCAGCAGTGGCGGCCTTTGAGGCAGAAACAGCAGCTCCAGCAGTGGAGCTGGAGGATCTGGCCGGTGCCATGAGAGCCCTGCATCCTCTGAAAACCCTAAACACATTGGAAGACGACATTGTTCTCAGCCTCTCTCTCTCTCTCACAGGTCACAGCAACACAATTTTCTACTCTCTACTCTCTCTTTGATCTCTGTGCCCTAATATTTGGAAGACCCACTTCTGACTATTTTCAAACGCTTCCTCTCCCCCTTTCCTCCTATTAGCTTTTTTTTCTTTCCTTTTTTTTCCTTTTTTTTTGTTGAAAATTAAATATCCAATAAACCCTTGGATTTTTATTTTATTTTGATGCTTGTTGATTGTACTTGTTGGGCTTGGGCCTAGCCATGCAGGCTTGCAGGATCCAACTCAGAATATACAAGAGAAATGGAAAAAATATAAAATTTGGGTCCTATACAAAACACTCACCTAGAATATTAGGGCGGATTTCACTTTACTATCCAAATTTTAAAGAGTTGCAATTTTTTTATTATTTAAAATCAAATTTAATATAAGGAAAATTAAAGTAAATTCTTACAAAGAATGCAAAGCCACCAAAGGTAAATGAGGCAAATATGAAATGTGGTTAAGGAAGTCTCAATTCTCTCCATAGTAAGGGTTGGCACGTTCTAAATTGGATTGGTTTACTCAAATTTATGAGGTTTGATTCAGTTCAATTTTGACAAAAACCACACTAGAAACTTAACCAAACTACTGCGTTCGGCTAGTTTTGGCCTAAGCCCAATATTTTTTTTATTTTGCATTTCTACAATGTTTTTAGCCCAATTACAACAACAAAAATTTATAACTTGATACATATTTTTAATTTTCTAGCATATTAAACCATCCTAATATTCAACATAACATAAAACTTCAAAGTTCAATAATAATATGGTTACAATTTAAAGATAAATATGTACAACTAGTAACTATATTATTATTGGAAATATAAATATATAAATATGTATAGGATGTATAGAAAAATAGGATGAAGACAAAAATATACACAATGGATAAAGAGAGAAAGACGGAAGCGCAACAAGAACAAAAAGGTTCACCGAAAAGAAAAAGAAATTGGGCTAGAGTAGTTATTTAGATGAGTATAAATTGGAATTAAGACTTTTTGGTATTAATTGGGCGAAAATATCTAGTTATTACTTGGGGTTACTAATGCTATTTGAATATTAATTAGGCTTACTAATAATTTTGGATATAAAAGAATAAGTAAACTTAACATGACTGGTCCGGCTCGGTTTACATCGGTTTTTCCAAGACAATAACCAAGAGGGAAACTGATCCAAAGCGATCTGGTTTGGTTTTTTAGCCTAGTTTGACTATTTTAGTCAACTCAACTTTTTTGGGTTTTTCTCAACTTGGTTCGGCTTGATTCACTTGTTCAAATACCCACCCATACTGCTCATTATTTGGCCAACTGGACCCTCTAATGATTGGGTTGACCTAAAATTATGCCCACCCTTACATTAGGGTAGCCCAAATACCATCACAATAGGAACAATCAAAGATAAAAGCTACTTTGGGGATATTTTGATTTAACCAAACTTAGATTATCCCATGGAACTACATGCTTAGTGGCAAGAAAATACTTACAAGATGACCATTTTTTTTTTCTTTATCGAACGATGACCAAGTCGAATAGAACCCATTACTCCCAAGGCTAGCCTAAGGGCCAGCTTCGGATTGCTATTACTTTTTTTAAAAAAGTTGATTCTGCTGTGCTTTGAAAATAATTAGCTGTAAAATAAAGCAACTCCATGTTTGGTAAATAATATTTTTAAAGTGTTGTTAATACAAAAAGCAGTGTCAAAACCGTTTGGTAAATTTTAATATAAAACCACGTTGTAAATGTGAATAATGACTAAAATAGACATGATGTAAGTGTTATGAGCTAATCATGTGGTGGTAGCAGTGGTGATGGTAAAAGAGATGGTGGTTGGGGGGATGGCGGTTGTGGAGGTGGAGGTGGAGGTGGAGGTGGAGGTAGTGGTAGTGGAGGTTGAGGAGGAGGAGGTGGTGGCGGCGGAGGCGATGTAGTGGTGGTTGTGGTGGTGGCGGCAGTGGCGGTCGATGGTGGTGGCGGTGGAGGTGGTGAAGATGGTGGTGGAGGTGGATGAGGACCTGGAGTTGATGTCATTTAAAAAAATTAATGATGGTTTTGGGAATTAAAAAATTCATTAAGTGCTCATCTATGCTTCTTTTGAAATCAACTTTGAAAAGCAACTCAAATCCTGCTTTTAAAAAATGTTGTCAAAAGGCCATTGTTTTTAAAATAATCAGGATATTTTATTTTTACCAAACACCTTAAACTATTTAACTTTAAAGTGAAGCGGATTTTTGGTATAAAAAGACTTTTGGTATAAAAAGACTTTTGGTATTTATAAAGCTATGAACTTCAGCATTGTTCTCGATCCTAGCACCAACAAGACTTTTTAGTCCCAAAGAATCTTTAAAAATAAGTGGTTTAAGAGTGCTTGAAAGTTGTCCACATAATCTTTGAGAGTGCTTGATTCAGAAAACTAAATTTTTTGAAAATTGAGAAATTTATGTATTCCCAACAATTTTGGAAATTTTCGAATATGCCCAACATACAATTAGCTCAAAATGAAAATTCATATGGAAAAGCTCAAAAAACTATTATATACTTATACTTAAATGTTGTCATTTTTTGTGGAACAATTCGTATATATATCTTCTTCTTTTTTATCACCATATCATATTTATTTAAATTGTTTTCTTTTTTGGAACTTTTAGATTTTAAAATTTCGAATGTCAGATATGATTTGTGCGTGTCAAAATTGAATTTTTTTTACATTAAAATAGGCTGAAATCTAAATTTTCTATCCAACGTGCACCCTACCCTTCACCAGAAACCCCATCCAAACTACCTGGATCCACACCGTTACCCAACCACCACGAGCCAACCCATTCGGATGTAGGAATGCATGCTCTTAATCACTTGAGTTCCAAACCCTTACTCTTTCCATTTATGTCAAGTTGAAAAAAAAAAAAAAAAAACTTGAGTAATTTTATTAAATCAATAATGTTTTGATATATATAATAAAAGAAAAGGGAGTAGGGGATGGATTAGACAAATTGTTCACTATGAGTCCAGCTTAATAGAATTTAATCAATTCTCGTTAAGGTGGATAACTGAACCAAGAATTCTTTTTCTTTATCATCAATTGAATTAATGTTCGAGACCCATAATTCTATTTTATCATCAATCCACTCACCATTCATGGTTTTTCTAGCATCTCCACTAAAATCTTCTATTTAAACTTTTTATTGAACTAACACAAAATGTAGGGAAGTCACAAAAATAAATAATAATGTCTAAAGTCACAAAATTTACTTATCCAATTGGCTCACCAAACAATGTGACAATGTGTATGTTTCAATATTTTACCTTTTAAAAATAAATTTGATTCAAAGTTAATTTTAACTTCAAACCAATCAATCAACACTATGTGATGGGATGAAAGAAACTTGGTTTCAATAATCCTTTAACTATACGGACTCATAAAGTTGTTTGGGCTCCAATCGTTCACCAATTTTGTTTTGTTTTTTTTTGTAAAATTTGCTATTACTCTTCTTTTTAAACCTTTTCCAAGCGTACGGGTTTATAATTTAAGTGATTAAAAGTATTTATCCGTGCACTCGAGGTCCTATGTTCAATTTCTCCCTTCCCCAAAATCTGCTTGTGTAAACAAAAAAGGCATTCCCCAACATGTTTTGAAATGAATTAGGAAACTTGCAATTCCCCCCGAAAATTAAAATTTTGCTTAGATCTTTCTTAAAAAGGAAAAAACGCCTTTTTACTAGGGAACATTTGGTTAGATTTTTCTCCATCCATCATTATTGCCTCTTATATCATAATGATTTTGAACATATTAATAATATTTTCTTAGAATCCTTTTTGCCAGTCAAATTTGTAATTAATTTGGAAATTTCATTGAATTGCTGTGCCAAAAACAATTCATATTGTCTACAAATTTGGAATCAAGTTAGAATTATGTACCTACCTTTTATGCGGAAAAAGTGCTAACAATTTGCTGGCAAATTTGGCTACAAAGAAATAATTTGATTTTAAAAAATAAATTACCTAATGTGCACTCATGTTAAAACATTTCTTTATGATATTTGGCATAAGAAAATTAAGAAAAAGAAACAATAATTTCATTCAAAAGTTACTTTCAAATGGGATGTACCTCTTTTATCTACTTGGAAAATTAAGTTTGACGGTTTAGTTAAATCGGATGGCACATATGCTGCCGGTTTTATTATTAGAAATAGTAGTGGCTACACAAAAATTGTAGGTTCTCTACCTCTGGTTTTCTTGTTGTTGAGAAAAGATGATATTTCATTAAACCCGTAGGAAATATTACATGATAAGAACTAGCATGTTAATGGCAGCCTCGTTAAAATCTTCCTGGAGAAAATAGAACTCCGAGTAGGAAAGAGTACCACCCATGTTATTGACTAAACAGAAGAGTCAGACAACTTATACGAAAAAACAACTTATCAAAGAAGTCCTTCTATGATCTACAGAAAACATCATAGTTCTTTGTACAGAGTCAAAACCGTACTATGGGTTAGAATAGATTCAGCCAAACACCAACCTCAAAACCACTGAAATACATCCATCACTACGCAGGTACTGTCAAAGAAAGTCTCATATCATCTAAAGAAAGCATCGTAGTTCTTCGTACATACTAAAAACACGTATTATGGACATCAGAACAGATCCAGCCAAACACCAACCGCCACCTCCAATTCTCTACTTATGTTCTAGAAGCTGAAGCTTTTGATCTTACGTTTGGTCTAATGAGCCAAGCGTTTTGGCATTTCCAATCTTGTTATTGAAGGCGATTCCCAAATACTTACTAAACTTTTGCAGCAAAATGGTTCTCCACCGTGACAAATTTATTGTATCATATTGGATATTCAAGACCTTTTACATAGGGGTGGGCACGGTATGGTACGGTACGGTATTGGACTCATACCGCTACCGATACCGGAAATTAAAATCGGTATGGTTCGGTATGGTATTATGGTTTGCCAAAGTTGGTACCGTACCATACCGTACCAAATCGGTATCGGTATGATACGGTATCATTTTGGTATCAAAATAACAAAACTAAAAAATAAACCAATTGAATATTCAATCTATTAATTCACCAAAGATTCAAATCAATATCATCAACATCCAAATCCTAATCAACCAAATCAATAAACATCAACAAATTCAACATCCATAATAAGTGATAATCAATAATTATGCCTTATGGCTTACAAAATTACAAACACAATCCAAACATAAATGACAAAAACATAAAGTTATGCAATCCAAGCATCATTTGCAGCCCACAATTTGAATTTCAAGCATCCTCATCATTTGCATATTCTACAAATTACCCAAACAATTATTAGAAAGAATTCAATGCAAAAATAATACAAAAAAAAATTACAAACAGTATTTAAAATAATTTACCTGATTCAATGGTTTCATAAAATTCAAATTCTTCAATCGAAGGTGTATCTTCCAAGCTTGAAATTTCATCCCCTCTCAACCAATTTTGCATGCATATCAAAGCCTCCACTGATGTAGGAGTTAATGAACTCCTAAATGCATCTATGACTCTGCCACCAGTACTAAAACAACTCTCAGATGCCACTGTGGAAGTTTGAATTGAAAGGACATCCTTTGCAATTGCTGCTAAGACAGGATACTTTGGCCCATTGAGTTTCCACCACATCAATATGTCAAAACATGCATCTTTGGAAACTAAAGCCAAAGGATCTCCCAAGTAAGAATCAACTTCATGTGACACCACAGCCTCATCACTTTGTGAGACCTCTCTAATCCAATCATCTAAAAAATCATCACCAGCAACACTCTCTTCAACTATATTATTACTACCACTTGTAGATCCTACATTTTCTGTGGTAGAAGAAAGTCTCATGTGAATGCCACCATCTACCTTTGGTACATACTCATCATAGAGGGCCATTAATACACCTTTCACTTCTCTTGTCTTTATTTGCACATCATCCTCATCAA